AACTACTGGGCGTTAGCTCATTCTGTGTTACCTCTTTTCATTTTTCAGACAATGAAGGCGGGATGATTCGAAATGACTACTTGTGAAAAAAACATACTCAGTATTAGCACATTAAATTTTGATTTCATTTTGAAACAAAATTGATCTTTAATTTAATTGCATTATGTTTTTGTAAAGTAATGAGTTTCTACAGATTCTTTTTATTAATGAAAGTCATTAATGTTTATTATGTTAAAGAAAAGCTTAAATCATTTTTTTTTTTTTTCGTATTTATGGTTTCTCAACGTAATTAAATACTAGCATTTCCGAGTCTAGGATTTCTCGACTTGGGGGGCTATAAAATAAGGGTGATATTACATGTACATAATGGAGTGTCAATAACGATGTACATCCCCTCACATGAAGGGGGACCCACTTCAAATAAAATAAAATATATCCAAAGTAGGCCCCCTTCATGTGAGGGGGTGGACACCGTTATAAACACGGCATTATGTACAAGTAGCATATTCCATAAAATATATCTTGTACTAATACTTGTTATCATTTTTGAGCTTAGAGGTTCTTTGGTGTACCAATGGGTATGAACAATTGATGTATGGCTTATTAGCACAAAACGTCCCTACGTTTGATAGTTAGTGTGCAAAACGTCCCAACGTTTCATTTTTTTGCATTTTTGCCCCTATTTCAACGTTTCAGTGTGGAAAACATCATTTTCACTATTTTTCAGTGTAAAATGACCATTATACCCTCAAATTTAAATAAAACAAATAAAATGAAAAGAAATATAAAAAATAATTGTAATTATACTCCCAAACTTTTTAAAAAGTGCAAGTAAGTCCAAAAGCCTTATTAAAAGGATTAAGCACAAAACGTCCCTACGTTTGACACTTAATGCGGAAAACGTCCCTATGTTTCAAACATGTTTATATTTGCTCAATAACACAAAACGTCCCTACGTTTGACACTTATTGCGTAAAACGTCCTTACGTTTCATTTTTTTTTTACATTTTCGTCCTTATTTCAACGTTTCATTGCGGAAAACGTCATTTTCACTATTTTTCAATGTAAAATGACAAATATACCATCATATTTAAATAAAACAAAAAAGGAAAATAAAAATAAAAATAAATTACAATTGTGCTCCCAAACTTTTCAAAAATTGCAAATGAGTTCAAAAATCTTATTAAAACATTCAAACTACCAGTCCTTTCCTCCTCTCTCAACCTTATCCTCCCTCCACCACCTAAACCAGGATTGTAGATGGAGGTGTGATGGTTTGAAAGGTGGTGGGGTCTGATGGTTTAGGTGGTGGAGGGAGGATAAGGTTGAGGGAGGAGGGAAGGACTGGTAGTTTGAATGTTTTAATAAGATTTTTGAACTCATTTGCACTTTTTGAAAAGTTTGGGAGCACAATTGTAATTTATTTTTATTTTTATTTTCCTTTTTTGTTTTATTTAAATATGATGGTATATTTGTCATTTTACATTGAAAAATAGTGAAAATGACGTTTTCCGCAATGAAACGTTGAAATAAGGACGAAAATGTAAAAAAAAAAGAAACGTAAGGACGTTTTACGCAATAAGTGTCAAACGTAGGGACGTTTTGTGTTATTGAGCAAATATAAACATGTTTGAAACATAGGGACGTTTTCCGCATTAAGTGTCAAACGTAGGGACGTTTTGTGCTTAACCCTTTTAATAAGGCTTTTGGACTTACTTGCACTTTTTAAAAAGTTTGGGAGTATAATTACAATTTATTTTTTATATTTCTTTTCATTTTATTTGTTTTATTTAAATTTGAGGGTATAATGGTCATTTTACACTGAAAAATAGTGAAAATGATGTTTTCCACACTGAAACGTTGAAATAGGGGCAAAAATGCAAAAAAATGAAACGTTGGGACGTTTTGCACACTAACTATCAAACGTAGGGACGTTTTGTGCTAATAAGCCATTGATGTATCACAAACCTATCCCGAGCAAAGTTGAGTGAAGGTAGGCTAAACTTGTTTAGTACATTGAAAACTTAACACTATACTAGACAATTTATATAAATTTCTCTTGCTCTTCTTCCATCCAACGTACTATAAAAGATGCCTTGATATTGCCCCTATGGGCATGGTGCAATGGTAAAGTAGGAGGGTTTTCTATAGAGTATCGGAGGTTCAAATTCTCGCGACAGCTGGAAGGCAACATTTATGTTGAAAGACAGATGTCCTTTGGAGGCAAAGTTATGGTTCGCTTTGTTGTCTCTCCGTGGATCATGTCCGAACGTCGTAGAGGAAGATCCACAAGGAAAAGAACCGCATGCCGAATGTTCAACTCAAATGTGTATAAATTGTAATCGTATCCAAAATCACCCAGGTGGCCAACTAGGGGGGAATGCCGTCACTTCTCAAGATTAGTCGGGTGAAACTCGAACACTCGAGTCACTAGCCCTGAAGTTATTCAAAGCCCAATCTGTGGTAAAACCAAACTTCAGTCCAGTATCACAGGCCCATACCCTTTATTCTCAGTCTGAAAAAATTCATAGGCGTGTGAAAAGATGGGCAAGAGGGTAGCCATTTTGCTTTATTTTCTAAAACTTGTATCTAGTTGAAATTCAATATTATTTTATTTTGTACGCATATATAATTCAATAAAATAAGTGACTTGTAACAAAATAACGGATTGTTTCCTTATAATCAATTAAAATGAAGTACATATAAGCAGTTGAGGCTAATCTTATAAGCACTGCTTCTTAGCTTATTTCGGCACTCTTACTATCGAAATAAGAAAGTAAATAAGAAGCTCAAAAGCTAACATACGAAATTTATCATAGGATAAGGACTAATATTACACTAAATAAAGTCAGGTTATAAAATATGTCACTTCAACCATCCGATTATTTATTTATTTATTTTTTAGCTTAGACGGTTATTGAACTGATAAAATTGTTTGAAATAAGTCTCCAATTTCATATCACTATATAATTAAACGAATTTGGTAACGTTTCTAACGATATAACTAATGTGGCCAACAATAATGACAACAGGCTTCAAAATCAACCAAATTAATATTCAAAACGAATAAAATAATTGGGTAAAATGAAAAAATTAAACACTTAAAAAGAGTGTTAAGAATAAAAACAAGAAGTAAAACTTATGTTTTTCACTTTGTTGATATCCTGTCATAGCAATATTAGTCTCTCTTTGAAAAGAATTTATAAGAGGTTTCATCTATAAATAGATACAATGAATGACGGATAAGTCGAGAGTACACGTAAATCTATTGTAATATGCAATTGAAAATGAAGTTTAATCACTTTTATATAACTTATAAACTTTACAAAAAGGGTCAGTGAACGAGGAAACATCCTCAGATACCTCGACAGATTTGTTAATTTTACAGGTCTTTCTCTTTAGCTAGAGGTAGATTTTATTCCTCCTCTTATAATTTTTTATCTTCTATTTTTTCACTTAAGCATAAATTATTAAGCAAAGCCAAACTCTCCCCCTCCCTTCTCCCTCTCGTCTTCTCTTTAATCTTTCTTTGTCTTCGTGAAGAGTGAAAATTTGAAGCTAATACTTTGGTTAAATTAATTAATTAGCGTAAAGACTTGAAAGTCACCATTCCCCATTTCTTGTACTTTAGCTTCATCTCTCTCTCTCTCTGCCTCTTGAAACTAAGGTCCATTTTCATCACCAAGAAAGATGAAACTGCAATTTTATGATAAACAGTATCCGAGTTTTTAACAATTTGTTCATATTGATTGGGTGGTGAAAAAAAAAGAGAGAAAATATAGAGTTTTTGTGAATGGGAAGGGTTAGTAGTATAAATACAGAATCAATATATTCAAGGCCAAGTGTGGCACCACCAGTGAGTGGTAGTGTGGAGAGTGAGGATCATTGGAGTAGCTTTGACAATTCTGTGAATGCAGTGTCGTTTGGGTTTGTTGCCACTGCCATTCTCATATCTATGTTCCTTGTTATGGCCATTTTTGAGAGGTTTCCCCGCCCCAGATCGACAGCGGCCGGCGTTGGTGGCCACAGCCCTCGAGGGGTTGAGAATACGAGGGCTCATGAGAAGCTCGACCACCCTTCTCCAAAGGTATAATCGTTTTATCAAATAAATTGCTTATAAGCATGATTTAAGTTGCAAGAATATGCACATGTTTTACATAATTAAACACACTAAAGAATTTATGGGCTTTTCAAGTTTAGCATTGAGCTTAACTTTATTATGGTAGCTATTTTACTTTTTCTTGTTTAATCATGCATAAACATTTGCAGTTTGACCTTTGATCATGTTAATTATGATGTTTCTTGACATGACGAGTCTCTTTTACTACCCGATTAAAAGCTCATTCTCATAGAGAATTGATCGATTGATTTATTTAGCTTGTGCCTTCAACATGCGCTTCATGTGCGTGTACAATTTATTTTATCATCAAAGACTCATATGAATTTTTATAAATGGATGACAATGGGACTCTGATACTATTCGAAGATTTATACAGTAAAAAGAGAGAATAAATTTGTAGCCTCTTCAACACCTTTAAGTCATGTATTGAAGAAAAGACCTTAAACTTTTGGGTCAAGTCCTATTTGGTTGTATTCTTAGAAAAGTAAGAAGCATGTGAGGCATTTATCACTCACTACCCATTGGTCATTGATGCATGAATTATTAAAACATTAGTAAATATAACAACATTAAAGTTTCAAAAATATTAATTTTGTACAAGGAAAATATTTTATAGCAGGAGAACAGTCCAATAAATGGCAGTCTATCTTTTCTTTAGTAATATATGCTTTAGTGGAGAAAATTCAAAGCCAATCATTTTTAATTACATTAATCTGATTCATTGTAAAGCTTAGACTTCCAGTAGACAAGGAGGTGACATTATGGCCATCCATTGATTAATTTGCCTTTCTATTGGACTCCACATGTTGGCTTGTCCCAATTTGTGAAAATTAAATTAAACCAAGCTTTATAATATAGTATACGATGTTATATCATGTTGGGATGTCATTGACAATTATGGTTTGTCGAAGATAATACATTGCTATGTAATATTATACGTTGCAACATGCATTCAAGACTTCGTGAGTCCTTTACAACTGCCTCCTTGACATTTTATAGCATCCCTTGAATAACAAAGTGTGAAGAGTCAATATATGTACTGGGTTCAAGTTTCGTTACCACTTAGTGCACTCGTCTAGGTTTTTCATCACAATGCTTCTACCTAAGCATAGTCATGGGGTTTCTCAGTTCTCACTCATTTATCAAGCTAGTTGTTGAAGAACACTTGTTTAATTCATATCATCTCTGGAGTATGGGTCGGGTGATTTGGAGTCCTCTTGTGTTCAGGATTATTATTAGATACTCATTTAAAAGATACAAAATTACCACTTGAATATGGTACAAACTTTGATAATTGAGGTTTTAGAATGAGAATCTTTAAGAATATCCCTAAGCATTAGTATGGATACACATTTATATAATGGACAGTAAAAAATATTTGTAAGTATTCAAATTCAAAGCTATTTTGACAAGAATATGTTCAAGTCTCTTTTATCTTCACGAGTTCAACTTCGAAAACTCTTATGCCCAAACCTATTTCGACATCAATCAATTCTTGATTTCTACTAGGATTGTGATGAATTAGAGGGCAACTCGAAGACACTATCTACCAGATGACAATCCCAGAAACATAAACAAATAGATGATGGTCAGTTTTAACAAAGTTAAGGGAGTGTTTGATGTATATTATTGAGGAAAGAATGTATTTTAAATAGTGATGATGGGAAATATGTGGTTAAAAAGTAAGGAAAAGTTATTGATGTGATGAAAAATATTATTTCATTGAAAAATGTTTGGTTGAAAATGAATTTTAAAAGAATGTATTTTGAGATAATGTGTGTCAAACAGGGTTTAAATCGAACATTTGTCCTTTAAAAAATATTCATTAAACAAAAAATTAAAAGATGACGATATGTCGAAAGCTCATTAAACTCTCTGTTCCAGTAATTTAGGTATCTAATAAGAGCCATGAAAGTTTCCAATATGACATGTTTAGTATTGTTGCTTACAGAATTTTTTCACAGCAATTATTATGAACTTTCACCACCAGGAGACATTAATACAATGTATATAGTCTCTACTTTTCATGGTTTATTTGGGTTAGTGGAGGTGTCCCCTATGTCTCAAGCATGTGATTTGATCTATGGTTTCCTAACTTAAACAATTATAATAATTAGGTTATGTCTTTAGTTTTTTTTACCTATTCTTGGGTACTTGCCCAATTGTTCAAATCTTTTAAGGATCTAGACTTTGCAAGAAGATGAACTGCATGTAGTATATGTTGTTTTGATGACTTTATAGTGCTATTATGGCTTTATTTCACTATTGGGTTAGTGGGAGTGTCCCCTATGGCTTTGTTTCAGATATGATGCCTTTGTTAAGTTTAGATAAAAATTAAATATTTAGTATATTTTGATAAAAGTTGTGGGAATATGTTGTTTAAAAGTTGTGAGTCACATAAAATGTATGACTAAAATTAATTAATGACGTTGACTTAAATTTTAATCAATTTTTTTAGCAAATCAAAACTGGAGCATAGTGAAGTCCTTATTGTCTTTGCCTATGAACATAGGTCAAGTGTGAAATCACATAAATTCTTTTTTGTGTTGAATTGCTTGTTTCATCAACTTTTATCTGTAGACGACTGTTTATGCAAAAGAGGTGTCAGTATTGATGCCGGGAGAAGAAATTCCAACTTTCATCGAGCATCTTGCTCCTGCCCCTGTACCATGTCCTCTAGAAAAAGTCTCATTTTCGCAATCATAACATTTGGGAAGTTCAACAAGGGAAGAATGTCAAGAAACAAATGTTTTAGGAAAATGAAGGTTTATGTATAGTTTTTCAATGCACATTAAATTCAAGCTCATGTCCTACTTGTAACATTTAGCCCTTGTTTGGCCCTCATTAAATTACATTACATTACATTAAATTTTTCTCTCTTCATTTCAACCACACATTCATCAAATAAAATAATATTACACACAAATCAAAAAAATTTCAACCACGCATTCTCCCATCAATCATTATTCTAAAAATTTCCAACCCCAAAAAATGCAAAATAATGGGGGCCAAACATGAGCTTAAATTCAAGCTCATGCACTACTCGTAACGTAGTTTTCATAGTAGATAAGATCATTTCTTAATTTGTATGTGTCATTCTTGTGCAGGCCTCAAAGGCCATACTAATATTCTTGAGTTTTGCTTGGGGTACATAGGATGTACAAGTAGCATTTTTGAATATTCTTTGTATGAACGTAGGACATAGTATGTAGACCATTTTACTTGGGTCACCATAGCAAGGAAACCCTAATCAACTGCTAGTGGGTATAAGCCCCTTGGAATTCAAATGCGAAATATTTACAAATTCCAATTATCTGAAATTCCTACAAAACGAAGACAATAAATCTAAATTTCTCTAGAACTCTTCATTTTCAATTATTTTTTGCTAAGTAATACACAATTTTGAATTCATCCAGAGCGCAAATTTCAAAGGGTTGAACTTCAAAAAGGGTACAACATCATCCAAGTAAGAAAAATGATTCAAGTACAGGGGAATTTTACCAGATTTTTAACAGGATTTTGAATTCTCTCTCACATAAAGTGGACCCCATGTATAAAATTTTCAAAAAAAAAAAAATGTTCCCCCCAATGTTGTCTCTATGCTGTAAGTACAGGGATTTTGAATCCCTGTACTTATAGCATGATCCTCAAAGTAAGTTTCATTTTGCATATGAATAGTAATTATCTAGGAATTATGATGAGCTAATCAAGAAACTTTATATTAAGTTCTTGATTTTCACTCCCCTCGAAACAAAGGGTACAATTAACAACGCATATAATAGTTTTTCAAAATTTATAAAATCCAATTGAAGCACAAATTTCAATACTTTTGTCCCTCTACACATTTTCACACACTCCAATCATATTGACTTATAAGCACTACTGAATACGCAATCGTGTAAACTTATAAGTACTTTTAATGAATTTTCTACACAAGTAGATTCAATTCTAAATAAATTTTAATCTAAGTGATTAGATCGTGTAAAAGATAATATTTATTTAATTAGTACATAATAATTCAATTTGAATTTACAAAATGATCTTCACCAAGAATGGCAATATATATATAGTGTAGTGAATGACATTGTTTTAGAAATTTAAACAAGGGTTATTAGCATAAAACATACATATGTTTAACGTTTATTATGAAAAATGTCCCCATGATTTTTTTTTTTGCATTTTCACCTCTATTTTCACGTTTCATTGTAGAAATCGTTATTTTTATTCAATTTCTCAATGAAATTCTGTAAAATAACGAATATACACTTATATTTAAATAAAACAAAAAGGAAAGGAAAATAAAGAACTAATTGTAATCATATTTTCAAAATTTTTTTATGAAATTATAAATGAATCTCAAATAAATTATTTAAAAATTAAAGAAAAAATAAAAATTCTTCCTTTCTCCTCCTCATCCTCCACCACAACTACCGTCGAGAAAATAGTAATCTTATTTCTTTCCCCATTCCCGAGCAAGTCACCCACTCGCCATTGGCAAATATAGAGCAATTCATCGCAGTAATGCCGCCAGAAAGCATGAGAAAATTGAAAAATCATAGCTGTACATTTTGCTCTAGTATTACAGAACCAAAAAATTGGATAGTCTATTAAAAATCCCTAATTTGAGTGGTTTCCTTCAGAGAATTGGTCGACACAGCGATGAGAAATAGAATAAAATTGGGCATTCTAAAAAAATGCTTTACCGATTAAGTTTCTTTGTACCTTAAAATCACCAAGATCCACATTGTCCTCTCTCTCACAAAATACTTTTTGGAGCTGATTCGCAAATAATGAATAAAGGTTTGTTTGGTTCTTGAGTGAAGTTTCCATTAAGCATAGAATCATCAACTACTTCAAAACCCACAAATTCGAAGTGGGAGCAAACTTCGGAGATGTAATGGAGTACCTAGTGACTAGTTTGAGGTTGCAAAAACTCATTGGCCTCCTGAGATTAATTTGCTTCTGACCACAATACATCTTCGAGAAAAAGGCGTACGATTTATTAAACATGAGCGGTGGTGGGAACTGGGAAACTTTTGATTTTCTGACCTAACAATTTTAACCATCCTTACAGTTGTAGAAGCACACTTAATTACAACTCTTGATTAAGTCAACTTTCCTGCTGTAAGAAAAAAGGTCTAAACCATACTTTAAGCATCTAGTTGGGATTCAAGAATAATACAAATGTAGGTAACGGTGATTTTTGCTTTGGTTTGTGGGCTAGTGATTTGGGTTGCGAGAAGGGGATGAGGAAAAAGACAATGATTTTGTTTTAAATTTTTTTCTCATTTTTTATTTTTTAATAATTTATTTGGGACTCGTTTGTATTTTTTCAAAAATTTGAGAGTATAGTTATATTTAATTTTTTATTTTTCTTTTTGTTTATTTAATAAGATGGTATATTAGTCATTTCACAACTTTTTATTGAGAAATTGGATGTGATTGACGGTTTCCACAATGAAACGTGAAGATAGAGGTGAAAATGCAAAAAAATGAAACATATGGATGTTTTTCATACTGCACGCCAAACGTAAGGATGGTTTGTGCTATACGACGAATTCCGTAAAATCCTTACAATGCTATAAAAAAATAAAGCACTCCAAGGGAACAATAGGGTTCTCAAATGACTCGCCATCTTCTGCTAAAACATCATCGTTGGACTTCTCTATTTTACCATTGTCGTCCCCACTCTCTACTGTCTTCACCAGTGGCGCACCACCTAGCCGACCTGTCTCACTCAACCTAGGACTTTTATCCCTCAAATTCATGTATTGATCCACCTCGCTACTTGTCGTCGACGACCTTGATCTCTTGTTAGAGATCTCACCATATTCTCGCAGGAGCACCTTATTCACTCCAGCATTCCGTTGTTGGACAGTGGTTGTCCTCTCCTAAAGCTACCTAGACACCGTCACTTGAACCCTATTTTGCTGCGACGTCGCTGTTTGTCTTGACGGAGCTTATCTATCTATTAAAGCTGGAATTGAGCAAGCATACGAGCTGGAGCTGAGCTATGTTAGTTGGCCAGTTATGTTAGTTAGATATTATGCAAGATTAGTTAGTTAGTTAGTTGATGTACAACTAGCTTAACTAGATTCATTCTTCTAT